CCTTATGAAGGCAGCCATGCTGTAAGCAATTTTGTCCACCTCGTCCTTGTGTCCCAAGAGATGATATGGCATTTCGGAGAGCAGTTCTCGAGGTTTCCACTGCAAGTTGTCCCTCAGGACAGCCTGCTAGTCGTAGATTACCATGATTGGACTCAGGTCTCTGAAGTGTGATGCTTCCACTGTCATCTTCCCATATAACCTTCAGGCTCTTGTCTTGCCAACATTTGTAGATGAGCAGAGGGCGTTGTTCTGAGATATTTGTTCTGATGGATTGAGTCACCTTCTCAGATTCCTGTGTTGTGACCATGGCCAAAGAGTGTCGGACTGAATCTGCCATTCACCTTTTTCTGTGTTGAACCGGAATGGCATGATTGGGGTGGAAGGGGTGAGAGAAATGGTGTCCATCTTGGTATTTACTGCCATATCTGAAGGGTTTTCATCTGCAATTTTGTTCAGGGAGCGAGAGACCTTTCCTAGCTCTTGGTTTTGCTCCTCCAGGTGTCTTGTTTGTCTCTCGAGGATAGCAATTTGTCTCCTCTTCTCCTTTTTTCGGTTCTTTGACTGATTGATCAGATCTTTGGCGATTGATTTCATTCTCTCGTCTTCTGTTTTTTGTTCCCTGTGGCCTTTTGTCTCTGTGGTGGTTTCCTCTTCCTGCTGTGCTTTCATTTTGTCCTCGCATAGGTATGAGACTGGCCATACAATTGCCTGTGAGGCTGCAGTGTTCTCATCAGCTTCCATCCCTTCTTCATTCTTGTCTACATATTGTAGAGCCACAAATTCTGAGAAGGTGTTCTCAGTTTGAAGTGCTTCGTAGGGATTTGGGGAGGTTGGAAAACCGGATATATTGTCTGAGCTTGCCGCCTTTTTGAGATTGCTGATGTGTCTGGCGTATGCCATTCGGATTTCCATGTCCAGATCCCGACGAGCTTTCAACGAATTGATATACTCATCGAGCCACTCCAAGGAGTTGGAAGAGTCTTCGTCCATTGCTGTGTCTTGGCTGTCCTCTGCTGTCCTTGCGGGCAGGGAGGTGTCAAGGTGCATGCTGGTGGTTGTGTCATCTGATGTTGCTTCCCCTTCCCTGTACTTTTTTTTCAGGTTGGGTGTTTTATTTGAACCCTTAGCTTCTTCTTCGTCGCCTCTGACTTTCCTTTTTGTTTGGCCTGGGTTCCCCTTGTTGTTTCTGCCCCTGTTCGTTGTTTCCAAACCCCCCTGTGCTGCAGGATCTCGGGGTAGGTTTTCTCTGCCTCTCTTCCCATGTTATGGACTTCGCTGAGGATCTGATTTTTGTACATTGTCTGTTCGAGGTGAAGAGCATTCCCCAGTGTGAAGTTGTCATACGTGTGAGTTGTCTTGTCGTACCTTTTTCCGGGCATGGGCCCTAATGCTAAGGATGGTGGGAACTGAAATTCGCTGCAGATAGTGCACGGTTAAACTCTCACAGTCTCTCAGTAAATCTTAGGCCTGAGAAAGTCTGAAGTCAAGAAACGAGCCTTCAAGAGAGACTGCTTATTATGGGGCAAGATTTTGAGCATAGCAAATGGCACATTGACATGGAAGAAGTGGCATCCGGCAGGTCCACAGGCAAGCGAGCCTCTCCGCTAGTTGTACTACCAATTGAACATAACAAGGTGTAGCGCATCTGTTTTGGGTACAGAGAGTCATAGGTTCGAACGTGAAGAAACTGCAAACAACATTTGGTTCTCACATCTACCAGCAACTCCACCAGTTAGATTTCCTGGTGGCCCAGACCCTGGACCTGATCTGTTCTTGCATTAGACATGCAAGCGGACCTGCCGCGGCTACGCCCGGGGCACACAGACCGGGCCCTTGCCGGTGGCCCAGGCCCCATTTTTTGTCTTTTGTGCATGTGGCAAGTAGCGGAGCCAAGCCGTTGAAAGTGCCAGTATGAGGACCTCGCCCCAGTGGCCCAACTACTCACCAAATGTGCAAAATGAGAATCAATCTCCCTCTGGAACATGGGAAGAGGGGGCTCGCTCGTTGAAGAGGTCCCCCGCATAGGCTTAGGAGTAGTGGCAGGCAGGTAGTGAAAGG